CCTTTCTTGTTTCCTTCCTTTCTTGTTTCCTTCCTTTCTTGTTTCCTTCCTTTCTTGTTTCCTTCCTTTCTTCCTTCCTTTCTTCCTTTCTTCCTTCCTTCCTTTCCGTCTTCCTTCCTGTCTTCTTTCCTTCCTGTCTTTCTTCTTTTCTTCCTTTCTTTCCTTTCTTTCCTTGCTTCCTTCCTTCCTTTCTTCAATCCTTTCTTTCTTCCTTTCTTCCTTCCTTTCTTCCTTCCTTTCTTCCTTTCTTCCTTCCTTCCTTTCTGTCTTCCTTCCTTCCTTCTTTCCTTCCTGTCTTTCTTCTTTTCTTCCTTTCTTTCCTTGCTTCCTTCCTTCCTTCCTTTCTTCCTTTCTTCCTTTCTTCCTTCCTTTCGTCCTTTATTTTTTTTGATGCATTTTTATTTTTTTTGATGCATTTTTATTTATTTTTGATGCCTACGCCGGTTGAGAATGGCCTACGCGTCGGAGATCAACCAGTTGGAGCAGGTGGGGGTGGAATTGGCATCTGGTATGGCATTTTTGTACCGACATCCGGCTCACAAGACGCTGTTGAGAAAGACACCCAATCGAGCCAATTGTGCCTCTGCATCATCTGGGTGATTCAGTGCTATCTTCGGAATGGCTGTCCGGTAATGGACAGGGATGGCGCTTTGGAGATTTTGAAGGAGATGGAACGCCCGGACAGCGGTGGTGTGGATCTAAAAGCTAAAGCTGAAGAGCTACGTTGGTGGAAGGAACATGTCCCTTTGGTGCCGGACCGGGTCATCAGGAGGTTTCGTGGCCAAGGAGAAGAATGGGGCCCTGACTTGCTGCCATGGAACAGACGCCAACAAAGAGCTCATGCCCGTCGTGGTGTAACAATCCACCTGTTCAGCGGTTCTAACACGAAGAAGTGGATGCGTCCAGAAGGGTGAGTATGAATGGATCTTCATCGACACGTGCTTGGGGAGTCAATTTGATCTCCATCGCCCAGTGGTCTGGTCGTACCTTTGGTCTCTGGCACCTCGAGGTTTGGTGAAGTTGGTCATCGGAGGGCCTCCATGCCGCACAGTGAGCAGGCTCCGCAATAAGGGTCCACCGGCTCCGCAATAAGGGTCCACCAGGTTCACGTAGGGTCAGAGGACGAGGATTGGAAAGGTTTGGCTTGGCGAATTTGAGCTCTGAAGAGATGGAGCTGGTGGATGGGGATGCGGCTTTATTCCTCAAACAGGCGGCGCTATGGAGAAGAGCGGAAGAGGTTCGAAGGCAGAGAGCTGGTGGTGTAGGTGCCTTGCGTGAGTCTCCCCAAGATCCAGCGACCTATTTGGATGAACCAGAAGCTTCACACTATGCACTTCTTTCTTCACCTTTCCGGAGCTGATGTCCTCGGTGGATTCGGGGGAGATGTATTACATACAGTTTGACCAAGGGCGAATGGCGCACACCAGACGCAAACCTACAGGTCTGGTGTCTAATCTTCCTAGACTTCCTGAATTGGATGGTCTTAGAGGCGGCGGGTCAACAGATGAAGTGTCTGGAAATCTCGACAGCCATGCAAACTTCAAGGTCTTGGGCAGAATGGGCTCCAGGACTTGTTGCAGCTATTGTAGAAGCGCTTCGGCTCCGATACAACCTGGAGAAGCAGGACGTGAATGAGGAGCTGGCGCAACATCGACGCTATAGAAGGGACTGTCGAAGATGCCTGGAGATGATGGGCTCGGATGGCCATCATCGTCGAACTCCTGGTGATCGAGGGAGATATTGTCTGTCCTTGGACATCGCGGGTCCTATGCCAGTTGGTGATGATGTGGGTTTGGCTCCTGGGGAAATGGAATCCCGCCCAAGGCGAAATACATGATGGTTGCCACAGTCGCCATCCCTCGCATCAAGCTGGAAGAAGAACCAAAGGGTGTTCTGGAGATTGCCGAGGACGACACCCTGCCCAAGTTGGACGTTGTGGACGATGAGCCAGCGGAGTTGGTATCGGAGGAGGAGGTCAAGGCCCTGAATCAAAAATGGTTGGATCATGTCAAGGAGCTCTCTGAACCAGTGGGGGTCCAAAACTTGACATTGGTGGAGCCAATGAAGTCGCGACACCAAGATGAGGTGGTCAAGGTGGCTTCGAAGCTCTACTGCCGCTACAGGGCGATGGGAGTGGCTCCCTTATAAGGATTCACACTGACTGAGAAACAGCTTTCCTCTCACAGCAGTTCCAAGCTTGGTACCGGAAGATTGTCTGGCAGACTATGACGGGAGGAGATGAAGGACCGTAACGGTCGCATTGAAAGCGAAGTTCAGCAGGTGAAAAGGCGTCTTAGAATGTTGGTAAGAGAAAGTGGCCTTGGTGAGAGGTTTTGGCCGGGCATCCCTCGCTACGTGGGCCAAGAGCGATTGCAAAGCCAGCTGCAAACGCTGGGAGCGCCGACGAAGCCATTGCTTCCTATCGGCTCGAAGGCCACTGTTAAGACGAAGCGGTGGCATCGAGCTGGCCATGGACCATTGGTACCGCCATTCCGGACTATGACGCTGATGGGACCTCCGCCTTTGGTGAGCACAGGGTATGTGTGCATGTAAGGGTCACAACTCCAGCATTCAAGCTAGTGATCAAGACAGACCCTGAGGCAGACCGTGCGGTCATGGAACTGGTCGAAGTTGACTACAAAACCCTCGGAGAGGATGGGGTCGAAGCAGCCGCCTGACCCTGAGATGCACAAGGTGCCACTTCTGCAGCAGAACCCTGATGGCCATCTACTGCCTCGACCAGCTAGAGCACCCGAATGTGGGGAAGAAGCACCTGGTTCAATGGTCCAATCGACGGTGTTCTGGACGAATATGGAAACGTTGCCCGATTTTGGGGAGGTGAGCCTGATGATGTGCCAGCCCTCCATGCAATGCAGGCTGGGGGGGAGCAAGCAGGCCAAGCAGGTTTTTCAGAAAGTTTTTCGACGACTTCAATTTTGACTTCGCCTATGACTTCATCAACCTGGAAAAGCTCTGAGAATCATGTGTCGAGTGCTACAATGCCAACATACTCTTGGGAAGAAGCTGAAGCAGTTCACGAAGCGGAGCTGCAAGAACATTGGACATTAAAGACACTGTGGATGAACGACTGAGGCCTGTAGCGATTGGTGAAGATGAAGGTCGAGAACAAGGTCAATGGCTGGAGCTTCTCACGGAAAATGTCCTGAGGAGAGAAATGGATCTGGAGCGGCAGCACGAGGTCTTGGAGAGAGCACGGTTTTGCAAACTCATACGGTGCCCTTGCGGCAAGTTCGAAAAGAGCTGGAGCCCTGGAAGCAACCGTTGTTGGACGAATACAAGTCCTTGACAGAGATCACCGGGGCTTTGGTCGTCACAACGGAGAAGGAGCTTCAAAAGGATCTTCGCTACGCTCAGATGGAAGTAGCACCAGCCATGTTGGTACCTACTGTGAAAGCTCCTCATGGAAAACGTCGGGCCCGGATAGTCATTTGTGGCAATCGCATCGAAGCTAAGAACCCTGATGGTCAACTTGCTACAGAAGGTCTTCACGGTGGGCCTGGGGATTCACTTTTTGCCAACTATGCTGGTGGAGCAGATGGAGTTCTGCTTCGAGCACTTTTGAGAAAAACTGGTGCCAAAAAGTGGCAGTGCGCAACGGTGGACGTCAAGACCGCCTTCTTACTTGCACCACGGCGAGGGGCGGGCAATTGGTCCACCTATAGAAATGACCTCTTGAAGATGTGGCAGTGGGATTGCAATGGACGTAGGCTGCAACTTTTGGCCACACCTGAGCCCAGTTGGAAATGCTCAGCTCCTGAGTTTGTGACGGAAGGGGCGTGGGTCAAGTTTTGCGGGTTCGAGCTGTCCAAGCGGGAGATCAATCTTTGCTGGGCCAGAAGTCCTACGCCTCGACATCCTGGAGTGATCTGCAAGAGCACGCCTTTCCCTGGAGTTTTGGATGAAGAGCCTGAGAGCGAGGTCAGCATTCAAGATGTGCGAGCTCAAGGCATTGTGGGCGAGCTGGTGTGGCTGTCTTGCCGCATGCGTCCTGATTTGAGTTTTGGAATTTCTTGGATGGGTCGAATGGTCACCCGTTCACCCCGCCAAGTTTGCCGTTGTGGGGAGCACATGCTGGGGTACCTCAAATCCACGTATGACATGTCACCTCACTAAGTTGTGAAGGTGGGCTTTTTCCAGGTCGATGTTGCGGCTGGAAGTGCGCTCTGATGCCTC